AGCCCCCACCCCCACCCCCCAAGTTAAAATATTCTTTAGCTGTGTAAATAAAAAGAGAATTAGCAAAAAAGTGTATTTGTCAGGCAGCTGGTGAATAGATTAAGAATAGTTTATGTATGGTCTCCAGGCTAAATAAGGTAAAAGCCATGGACCAGCAGGCTAAAAGAAAGATACATCCTGGGAACCAAAGCATGGAATTGGAAATTTGTACAAAATCTCAGAACTGTAATGCGAATTGTGGTTATCGGATAGTCTCTGGGTTGAGTTCAGACACAGTGAATTTGAGAAATCCTAAGTTCTGAAGGCAGCTATTTAAAATAAAGATATATTAAATTGAAGATGGTACCATTTCATCAGAGGGAAGCAAATTTAATGCCTATAATTAAGTCAGCAAAGGGAAACTGATAATGGCATCAGCAGGACCTGACCCAGAAGTAGTCCAGAATTCAGAAAAGATTTTAAGGGAAAAAAGATATATAGAAAGGAAGATGCGATAGTTTACTATCTTACTAAAAATGAGCTGTGGCCAACCAACTTGGTGCTTTAAGAAAATTTGCTTTTCCATTGTTAAGATGACCTGGTGTCTGATGATAAAGTGCTGATGGGAAGTCTAGAGGAGATTAGTAGAGAAAAATATTAACCAAGATTAATAAGCAGAAGCAATGCTTCTGTGTTTAAAAAAGTGTTGGGCTAAAAAGAGATTAATAGTGGAATTGCTTTTTGCATTCCCCAAAATAAGAGTAGTACTAAACAAGATGAGTTTTAAAATCAGTCCAAGAGTAAGATGAATTGGTAAAATTTACTGATGAGGGGATGATGAGGAAGGAGAGGGAGGAGCATGATATGTTACAGAAAGTGCTGAATGAAAATAAATTCAGCAGTAGAGTATGTATTTAGAGATCAAACCAAAGAACAAACTCTAAACAAATCAATGAAAATGGTGGAAGATATTTCCAGGTGAGTCACAAAGTGAACTGAGTCATCTCCATTGGAAAAAGATAGTTACAAATGGAGCACATGCAAAGGAAAGTTAAGGGTTAGGCAACCTGAGAATTATCTTGTGAGAAGAAACTAAAAGCTTGGGGTTGTTTCTCTGGGGCTACAGAAGTTAGCAGTGGATGGGATTATTGATGCATGCAGGGAAGTAGAGCTTTTAAGGGATAGGACTGTTTTGAAGCAAGAACAAATAGATAAAAGTTGGTAATCAGTAAACCTGGAAATCTGATGGTTCTTATTCGTAAGAGCAGTGGGATTCTAATGAAGTCATTCAGTTATTTATTCTTTATTATACCTTTTGGTTGGAGCTTGATTATTTAGCAAAGAGTGTATGGTGTGCCTCTAACCCTGAATAATTGTAGGTTGATGACCTTGGAGATATCTTCAAGATTTATATTTGTATAAGCAGGAATATTTTGCGTCTGCAGACGCTTAAGCGTTGTGCCAAAAAAAACCCAAACAAAAAACAAAAAAAAACCCACCCCAACAAAACCCAACCTTTTTTTTTTTTTATAGAATTCACATTCTTTTTAATGCTAGTGAGACCTTCTTTTTTGCAAAAATGGTTTAATTTTGTGGATATAGTAATGACAAGAATTTAAAACTGTCAGTAGTACATGTTAAGAAATGGCAAAAGTGAAATAGCAGCAGTGCAGGATCACAGAAGATGCTGTTACAATTTGAAGTAGAACAAGAAGTCTCACTTCTGATGCAAATCTTGGGAACTAAGAGCTTGATGCGAGTATGGGCATAATGGTGTCATTCTAAATTCATGAAAATAGCTTTACAAATGAAGGAGAGGCAAAGTGGGGTCAGTGCAATTCAAACACATGATGACAATTTTAGCCTAAATAGAATGCTCTTTGTGACTAGATGAATTAATTACTGTAAGACAGTGTTCTTGCTTGTCATTCTGATTCTTTCTGCTTGTTAATCACTCCTAAATTGTAACTATTGCAGTAATATTAAGATTTATTACTTATAAAATTTTGCTAATCTATTTTCTAGTTTAGTGTTTATTCACATATTGATGTAAATGGTTTGAAATGTTTCTTGTTTTAAATTTCTGCACTTTGTCCTCTAGTATGTATTTTCTGCCTATTAAGCATTATTGTTCTACTGAAACACTGTATGACTGTTTTAAATGGTTTACTTTCATAGTCAAGCTTAATTTACCTATTCAGCAAATTTCATGAGATACAAAGTCGGAGCTGAAAAAGAGATTACTATACAAGAAATAAGTTCCAGTGTCAATGAGAAGGAACATCTGTAGAATGGTTTATCTTAGTCTTTGTGCCTCATTGATCTTGTAGTGATTTCAGAATTTCCCTTCTTACTGCTATGAAGGTGCTAGCACACTTTAGGAAACTTCAGATCTACTGGAGGTATTAACAGAACTCGGTCTGCTGTGAATGGGATGAAGTTTCCTGGGCTGTTAATAACATGGAAAACTTTAAATATGAAAACTGGGAAAATTCTTATTCAATGTGATGAGTTGTAGTAAGAAAGAAACAGAGCAAATAATAATAGGGAAATATATGTGTATTTATTTGCACAAGGAAGCACTTACTTTTAGTTGTACAAATCACTGCAGTCTTAAATAGATTCCTCCCCCCCCCCCCTTTTTTCAAAGAGTTGCTGACCCTTTGAAAAAAATAATTGGGAGAATTAATCTTCTATTTATCCAAACTATTCTGTGTTCTTTCTCTGTGGGTTTTTTTTGTTTGTTTAATTACAGGGAACATTTGCATGAAAATAGGATTTTAAGACTTGAACAGCTTCTGATGCTTTTTCCCAGATACATGGAGTAAACTGCATTTATTGTATTTGTAAACTAAAACAACTATTGTTTCGTAGAAATTCCTTGCATGCTTTTTTTATACTGAATTATTAATGAATATTTGAGAATATGCCTTAGAAAGGTTCCCCCTGCCTCCCTCTTGAAAGTATATAGTACTAATGTGTATAATTCCAGCGCCCTCCTCCCCTTCCCCCCATCATGTCTCCTTCAAGACCTACCAAGGAAGTCATATTGGTCATCATCTCATTTCTGTGGACAATTAAACTAGATTTCTGTAGTTCCTCCATTCTCTAATCTTATGCAACAACAAAACTTTTAAATCAAACTAAAGTTTGCAACAGTTCTTTCAGACTTCTAGGAGGTTTTTCATCTTTTGGAATGGGTACAAACTGGCCAATTTATTATGGCAAAACCAGAAAGGAGAGGCAGCACCTTGCTCTACAAGTTCTAATTGATTTTGAATATTTATATCATGTTGCATCAGTAAAATGTTTAAAACTTTCTTGTGTGACCTTCTACAATGAATTTATTTTCTATAATGTACATTAGATTCTGGATTGCCAGCTTAGATAATGTTTTGTGTTGTTATTATCATGTTTAATATTTTTAATGTTTAACATTGTAGTTATATTTATTGTTTAGTGTTTATGCTTTTTGGAAGGCACGTATTTACTACTCTTCTCTGAGTTGTACTTTCATACCACAGATTTCTGTTTATTTTTATGTATTGACTGCTTGCAAAATGTGAAAATTCTAATATAAAAAGTAAATTTTTATTATTCTATTTAATTACAGAATAAATAATTTTACAGATTCATGTCTGAAGTGTTGGAATACTGAGTTTAAAACATAGGAGTAATCACTTATTTGAAATTTAATTGTGATTTCTATTCATTTAGATTTCTCATATTGGGAAGCTGAAAGATTTTCTTCTACAACACAGGAAGGATTACATTAATGCTTACAGGTAAGTGTGCATTGTGTTTAAATATATTTATTTTCAGATTTATAAAGTGAACTACTTAAAAATCTATAGGCACATGACTAAAACCAAAATGTAGATTGCTTATTAATAGGCTTACTGTGAGCTACTTAAGATGAAGAATAGTGCTGTCACAAGAAGAAAATGGTCCTGAATAAAATGAGACTCAAAATTTGAAGATTTCTGGCTCTTAGGAGTGAGTTCTGAACCAAAACAACGTGGCAGTCCGAGTCAAACACCTTTTAAAGACCTGCAGAGCAGGTTTCTGAAGTGATTCCCGAGACAACAGAATATTAGAATCAGTGATCCAGGTTTTCCCTCACTAGACCCAAGTATACAGTCAGTAGCATCAGCAGGCGTTGGAGGAGAATGATGCAAACTCTTCTAACTCTGGAATGTGAATTCCAGATGAAGGACGCTATTGAGAACATGGTGTCAGGGGACAGCAGCACAGGATTTGCTTTTCTGGGACAAAAACTCTAGATTTCAGTTCTGGTAGTTGTTATAGTATGGAGGAAATCTTTATTCTCTTCAGCTATTAGGAAGCACTCAAAACTGCTGTATCAGTTTACTTTTTGGAGGGGGAGTTATATCCAAATAAAACAGTGTAGGTAAGCTTTCCCTTTTAAAGGATCTTCTGAAACTTCAGTTTCCTGTGTTGTATTTCTCCAGTCCCTCAACATAACTGCTGTATTGCCTGGGGTGAGTCAGCCCTGTCTGCATGCTGATCCTGCAACAACCCTGACTAAAGCTCAGCTGCTATTGCAATCAAGATAGAGAAGATTGGGTTGAAGATGCTGAGCCCCAAGTCAGTTTAATACTCTTCTCTAGAAGGCTTCGCAGATACCCAATAGAAGCATTATCCAGACAGATACCTATCCCCCAGAAGAAGACAGGAACAGATGAGCCATCTACTATTACTTAGGCTTGGTCCATATTGGAGGAACAGTCTTTCCGAGAAAAAGCTTCTAGGCATGAAAGGTTCTGTCACAGTAATAGCAATACTGTACAATCAGTGGTATCAAAATGTGTGCCTAAGTAAGTTGCCGGAAGACTTCTGGCACCTTTTCTGTCTCCTTGAGACTTTAAAAGCAGTATTTTGTTGTTTCAGAAATTAAACAGAAAAAATGAAGATTTTGTAGTTTTGTAAGTGTAGGGCTGTAAGAGCTATTCATAGTGCAGGTGAAAATGAAGCTCAGGGGTGTGGGTGTCAATTCTGTGTGCAAGGTGTATGAGCAACTGCTTTTCCAAGCAGGAAGCAAAAGTAGCGTACAGCTATGTGTTATGACTAGCTCTCTGCTTTTCAGTTCCTGTCGGAATAAGTCATGAACAACGCTAGGTGGAGCTACCAATTTAATACTGAAATAACCGGTTTTATTGTGTGAAAGCTTTACATTAATGCATGGGCTGACAAACTGCAAATAACTGCAGTAAGAGAAAACAATCGGTAGTAGCTAAATTTTGGGTACTATTTGTATTTTTTTAACAGTAGTGTGCATAAAATTGAAGTGATGAGAGGAGTAAAAAATTGTCCAAGCTCTTTTGGTTTCTGTTAGTTTTTAATGTTCTTTTTGTAAACTCTCTTTTAACAAATTATCATGGTAATTCGGATTTTCACCCTCCTATACCTTGGCTATTAACATAGGAGAGGGGAAAAGGAAGTGTAATTTCCTTTATTAAACCATAAAATAATCCTCCAAATCGCATCTGTAATTGCAGTTCATCCTGTCCTTAATGGTCAAACTTAAAATACTGTCAAATTCTGTACTTGATTGCTTATGCTGTTCTACTTTGTGGATGCAAAGAGGATAATAGCATCCATGCTGTCAGTCATACAGTCTTGGCAAATGCCTTGCTCATTCAAGACAGCAGTTTTAATAACTTTACAATTCTTAAGCCATGGGGAAAAATCTTTAAATAATTGAATACTAAAAGGCTGTCCTGGAATTTATGTAGGGGGTTTAATTTTTTTCATGAAATTTGACTACTCTGTATTTTATCAGTCCTGCTACTTGTTTTTACAACTACAGCATGTTGTGTTGGTGAAATTCAGCTTTTGCATTACCAAGTTGAATGTTTGTATACCTTTTAAAACATCATCATCATGTGTTACATCAAGGTTCTTGATTGCTTCTTTAACCTTACTTTTGCAGACTATAAATTATTTAATAAT